TTCTTGTTCGACAGTAATTGTTTCATGTGCATTATACATTGATGCATTACTAATAATAGAATTTAATAAAAAAAAAATCATATAATTTATCGTATTCTTATTATATTTTCATATACCTCATTGAACCGGACAAAGGTGAGAGTGTACCGTCACCTCTATCAATAACTTGAAAAAAATTAAATTGATCACCATCACGTAAAACAAGAAATGTAACATTTTTATTCGATGATGGTAATGTATCACTTGTTATTGTATAATCATCTCGACTATTTTCAATATATTCCGACATTTCACGTATAAGACTATCTTCAATAGGTACACGTTTTGTATTAACAGGTCCACCACGCATAGCTAAAACAAGTTTAAGTGTTGTACCAGCTTCTATTTTATAATCATGTAAACATGATTCATCTTCAAGTTCATTAGATTTCCAAATAAGATGTTGATGTGAAACAGGTATACCTTCTCGTCGTTCAATTTTACGTTTTATATATTGTACTTGTTCATAAGGTGAAACAAGTAATTCAAATGATGATCCAGCTAATGTTTCAATATTAATTGGAATTAATGATCGTTGTGTTGGTACAGGTGATGTTTGACTTATTGGCAACATGTCACATACAAGAAGATCTTTTAAAAATATAAAAATTAAAAATAAATAAGAATATATTTTTTTATTAAAAATTTAATGCTTACATCATATCATGAAATGAACAAAATTAATTTAGATTCTTTTAGTTTATCTTTTGAATATCAATTCGATTTATTCTCGACTACAAGAATTTATGAAACGTAGAAAAAAAGAGAAAAAAGTTGATCGATTACAAATTATTCATCTAAAATATAAAGATTTTTGACGTTGATCAATATTCTTTTGTTGTTTTGTATATGTGTCAAATAAGTTTGATTTGTTCGAAATAAAAGAATTATGTATTCGTAAAACTTTGCAGCTGCTACTGTTCATATAATGATGGTGATGATGATGATGATGATCGTATTGACATTTTGGAACTGGTAACTATTGTAAATAGCAAGAATAGAAAATGAAGTAGAAAAGAAGAAAAAAAAAACACGAAAGAGCAAATAGAGAAAAAAAAAAGAATCTATAATGTGAAGTAACGCCTGCTTATATTTCATTGGCATGAAGCCTTATGAAGATCAAAACTTGTTTATTTGAAAGAAAAACGAGAAAAACTTTAAGTCAATATTCAAGTCAAATTAGTTTCGATAGAGAAAAAAAGGAATTATAAATAATGCAAACGGTCGCGTAGTTGTTTTTTTCAAGTAACTATTATTATTGTTTACAAAAATATGACGAATATGTGAAGCGACATCTATTTAGGGCCTCCAATTTTGTTATCAGGATTGTCTGATTTGTTCATTTTTACTTTTATTTTACTTCTTAAGAACGGGATATGGTTGTAGTTGTAGATAGATAAATAAATATATTGAAGAAATATTGATCAATTGGAATATTTTCTCTCTATTCATTTTGTTTAATAAGTAGTTTTTGTTGACTTTTACCTTCATTGAATGAGGACACTTTACGTTCTGATTATTGAAGAGTAACTTTTATTTTATTCAAGTTTCTCTTTTTTCTTGCAAAGATATTTATTGATTGTTTTTACTTTAGATAACCACCCGTTTTTTTTATTATCTTCATATCAATAGAATGGGTAGATTATTTTAATCTCTCTGTCAAAAAGTATAATTATATTTCTTTCTATTGTTTTTTGAATAAAATAGGTAAACCTCGTGGTCTTCGTACAGCTCGTAAACTTAAAGATCATCGACGTGAACAACGATGGCATGATAAAGACTATAAAAAGTCTCACTTAGGTTCACGTTGGAAAAGTAACCCATTTGCAGGTGCTTCTCATGCTAAAGGCATTGTACTTGAAAAAGTGTATGTTTATTTTTGTATTTTGTTAGTAAAAAAAAAACAGTTTGCTTTTTTTCTAATCTATTTCTTAGTGGTGTCGAAGCTAAACAACCTAATTCAGCTATTCGTAAATGTGTTCGAGTTCAGCTGATTAAAAATGGTAAAAAAATCACTGCTTTCGTACCACGTGATGGTTGTCTTAACTACATCGAAGTAAAAGTTTTTTTTTTTTTGCTTACCTGAAAACTTCCTTTTTTTTGCCATAGGAAAATGATGAAGTTTTAATTGCTGGTTTCGGTCGTAAAGGTCACGCCGTCGGTGATATTCCGGGTGTTCGTTTCAAAGTCGTCAAAGTTGCTAATGTCTCTTTGTGGGCATTATACCGTGAAAAGAAAGAACGACCACGATCATAAAATATCGATCAACTACAACATCAAACTAAATGTGTTAACGTTTTGTTTTGTTGTATGTTATTATTAAAATAAAATACAAAGAAAAAGAAAAGAAAAAATGGAAGCGATAAAACAAAAATTATAAAGTCATTTAGTCAGTTCAATAACAATCTAAGATATGAAAGTTGTTGTTATCGGAATAATTAAATTTATGATCATAACAAATTATGGAAAAATTTATTTTAAATGTCAACATTAAAATTAAGCATTATAATGGATGTGTCGAAAGTTTTCAGACGAAATATTCGTTAACTTTTTTTTTTTGGATCGAAGAAGAAAGTATTGAATACTTGGTTTGCATCAAAATTTTGTGCTTTTTCTAAATCAATGTTCAGAATTTTTATAAAACTCTGCGATTAAAGAATTTGAGCAGATCTTTGAAAGAAGTTTAGACAGAGATTGTGATTCTATCCTATTAGAAATCGATTTGATACTGTTGTTCAGTGATTGTTCTCGTTACTTTCGTAAAAGTGTTCATTTTGTTTAATCTCACTTTTGATTGTATTATGTGTTGAACTTTTTTGGAAGAGCACACGAATGATAAACATCCTTCTCAACTATGATGTCTCGTATTGCATGCGGTCTGTTTGGGATTTTTTGGGCAGCAAAAGGGTCAAGATTGTTCTCTACAAAGATAGCTAAAAACTGAGAATCTCGTAGCTTTCAATCAGAAACGATCGAGTTCACTTTGTAAGTCTGAAAATCGAGAAATTGCAAACATATCATTGTATCTCTTATCAAAAATGTCATTGTTAATCGACACCTTACAGAAAACCAATGATTAAGATATTATTTTGTACAGAAATATTCAGAACTGAAACCCGTCCTAACTTTATTTTCAGGTTTGTCAAAGATTTGCTCATAATTCCTGACCTATGAGTTTCGCACAAATGCTGAACATGAATTCAGAAAGAGCACAAAATTCTAATTCTAATCACATACTTAATATTTTTTATTGACCTTCTTTATGGATAAAAAAAATCCAGGAGTATTCTATCTAAAAACTTTCAAGCATCCATTATTACAGTAAATTAGAAGCATTTTTTTGTCGTATTCGATATTAAGTCATTGCCTTCATTATTGAAAATTCTGTATCTTTCATCAGTGAACCAATAAGTCAATCTTGAGAGTTCGCTCGATAGATAATACATCAATTTATCAATCAGAGAAACAGTTTATTGCCTATGTGAATTTAATTTTTAAACCTCTGATGTTTCTAGAAAATATTTAAGTTAGTTTATTTTTGGAGGAAATCTGTAAGAATTAACAAACTTTTACAATCTCATGAAAAGTTTTTTTTATTCTTGTTTAAATCTACATGACAGTCAATAGAATGCAATTATTCATTATATCGTAAGATTCATAGAATTTTACTAAATTGGTCTGAAACACGCAAATCATTAGAGTTTATCTCGTATTCATTCAAATGTAAACCCATGAGTCATAGAAAGTTATTAATTAAATCAATAATGTTAAACTTGAAAAATTGAATTCAATCGAACAACTACTCTTCAAGTTTCAATTGTCTATATGTAATACTTCAATACTTTTCTAATATTCTTAAAAATTACAAACATTTACATTACGTGGTAGAAATTTGGAAGGAGTATTATGATGAGCATGCCAGTCAGTCAACTCTATTCGGTTATGGTAATTTCTCGTCGTAAACAGCAAAATCCGATTCTGAATTCGGACATTGTATTTCACCTTCTTCTTTTTTTTCGAAATCCTTTATGATGGAACCTGCTGCACATCATTCATCCCCGCAGTTATGAGATAAAATAGAATAATCATCGAGTTTGAATAGTTGTTAGTCGTGATTATTAAATACAAATTTTTTTATGATCTCTTTATGTGAAAAATGTAATAAATATCCAAAACAGTTGGTACATGCGCGAGAACATCTTTTTCTATTAGTATTTCGATATATAATTTCCAGAAGACTTTGATAAACTACATAGTATTTGATTTTCCCTAAGCAATAATATTTCTTTAAATAAAGGAAAATTACCAATTAATATCGAATTATATTCTCAACCAGGAGACAGTTGTTTGTTTTTGACTAGGACATCTCCTTTTATTTGCGAATATTTTAATATATGATCTCTGTAAATCTTTCATATAGAAGTATTGGATTTTTGTTGAAGAAACAAAAGATACTATCCGACAGAGCGTATAAAATACTATGAACGACGCTATTGAATTTAGGTCGGATAGATTATATGTTGAATATGGCACCGAATTACGCTTTGTCATTCGTAGTTTCGTATTAAGAAATAGTTTTTTTTGGTACCCTACATGATATGTTTTTTCCAGAATCTGAGGCCTCTATTTGATTCGTCATTTGATCCTACATTCAGAACACTTCTTGATTCCACTGCCACCACTCTTCATTCGTATATTCATTAAAAACACTCAGATGTGCTAATAACTTGATGCACATTTCCGAATGATACATATTTTATAGTCACTAGTATGACATTATCGTCATAGGTTGTACATACATACAATTACTGCATATTGGGAATTGGTTTATTGTGTTACCAATCAGTGACGTTGCCTTTGAAAAGAAAACAACCTCAATGTCGTACGCAGTGACCCCTTTCATACAAAAACGAGTCGACACACACACACAATCATTACATTTAGTACTAAAAAAAAAAACGATGAATCGTATTGCCTTCAATGGTATTGTGCGTGTAGTTCGCGTTAATCCTGCTATTCGAACGATTACTCCATGTCGTTGGGTTAGTTTCAGCTTTCTTTAACAATAACATTAAACTATTTCTCAAGGTTTCTTCAGGAGTCATACAGTACATCTGGTGGTAAACAATCACAAGGATCGGCGTTTGTAGCTGGTGCTGCTGGTGGTCTTGTTGCACTTCTTGGAGGTACGTTTTCTTCCAGTCACGTGGCCATACGTGATCAGAATTTTTTTGTTCAGCTTATTTTCATATACAGAATCGAATTTAGATTATAGATAATTTGAAAATATTTTCTTATTTATATAATAGGTTTTGCATGGTATCACTTTAGTGGTACACGTCAAGTTGTTAATATTGCACGTGATACTCTTAATAAAGCTCAACAAATCAAAGAAAAAGTGACAGAAACAAGTGTTGATTCAACTGATAGTGTAGCCAATACTGTCAGCTATTTACGTTCGGCTACTACTACTTTAATTCCTGGCTCGGCGCCATTTCTAGGAAAAGTATTTGATCAAATTGAACAGATTAGTAAAGACCATGGTGATGATGCAAAAAGAATATTCGATGAAACATATAATGATTTTGAAAAACTTGCTAAAGAAGGTGGTTTAGAGGCACAAACAGCCAGTAAAGCTGTAGATATTCTTCAAAAACGTGTTAAAGAACTTCAAGATTTAGCTGGTGAAGCTGGCGGTGATCTATACAGTAAATTAATTTCCGACAATCCAAAATTAAAAGATCAAATTTCAGAACAATATAACAAATTAAAAGATATTGTTGATAAAGCTAAAGAAAAACAACCTGAACTTCAAAATATTCTTAAAGATACAATATCACAATTAACTAAAATTTTTAAAGAGAATGGTGTATCAAAAGAAACTGTTCAACAAGCGCAAGATTTATTAAAAAAGAAAGTTGAAGAAGCAAAGAAAGCTGGTGAAGACGTTGCAAAAAAAGCTAAACATGATAAGTAGATCCCAAATATGAATTTGTTTTCATTTTATTTTTGTGTAGTTGTGCTTGTTCATGTCATTTTTATTCATGCTTAATATTTGAATCTCGCACATTGTAAAATACATCAAAATATCTTTAATAAAACCTATTTCTCTGTGTGAATCGTCCAAGTCAAAAAACAAAGTTGCAAATATAGAAAAAACAATAACCTATGTAAATATAGTAAAATCGACAAAAACTAATAAATTTTAGAATGAAACTGGTTTCTTATGAAATTCGATACAAAGTGTCTCAATGAACTAGATCGGGCTGATTCTCTATTGTGATGAGCCGAATCTGGAATAGAATAAAAAAATTTCAAAGGATGTTGCGTATTTCTACTAAATTATTTTTCAAAAATTCTATGTAATTCTTTCCTTGGTTAAAACATTTCTGCAGTCAACAGCTAATATGTGGAGCAAAACAAAGGAAAAGATAACAATTGTCGTCGCCTTAAAAAAATACTTTTCTTATATTGCAGAAAATATCTTTGCTTAGCTTGTCTCATTTATCAATTACTTCTTCTAGTTCAAATTCTATTCCTACTAATGCATTTCGAACGAATCGAATTTCTTTAGATTCAGCAATCATTGATATGTGCTATAATTAAAAATGGAAAAGCAAATATATTTTTATGTTGAAAAGTTCTTTTTTTTTTATTTTTACAACTGAAACCATCAGAAAATACTAATGAATTCGAGAGTAATAAAGATTTTCTAAGATTTGTTTATAAATCAACTACTGTTATTCGAAATATGCTTGCTCATTTATACGTAAAAAATTTATCCAATGCAATTAGATGAGTTAGCCATTAGTAGAGCCCGTTGAGTCCAAAATATTCGGATCCAGACCTGGTTTATTGAAGGTTAATAGAAAAATTTCAGATCTGGACTGTACCTGGGCCAGAATCAATCCGCAGAGTTCCAGTGAAAGGTTGATAATCCGTGGATCGACTTTATTCGAGTCGGTTTAGTCAATTGAGACCGCTGGTTCGAAATAAATAAATACTCATACGTATTCTACTAAAAACTCATAAATTATTTGCGATATTGACAAGAAAAAAAAAGGACCAAAACAATGATTTGGTTTGGTACTGACTTTATTAACGTTATAACGAAGAATCAAACATTGGCAACTACGCACTGTGCATAATACTATTATAAGAAAATTCATAAAAAGTTCTTCGTTTTTATTTACTTTAACAAATAACAGAATAATAATCGATCAATATATATATATATTAGTTTCAAATAATAATTGAATTTCCACACATTTTATATCTTTCAACATCATTTAAATCTGGTTTTTTAATTGTTGTTGATGTTGCTGCTGTAAAAATGATTCCTTCATCTGTTTCTGTTAATATTGTTGAAGGATTATTATTATTATTCGTACTATCATTGGAACAATTTTATTAGGTATTTCCAGTGAATATGTAACTAATAATCGAAAAGATAGTGTAATAATTACCATTCCAATTAAAGAACAAATGACAAATACTACAAACGATCCACCAACAGTTGAAGTAACCACAACATTAACGCAACCAATAGAAAAAACTCATACACGTAGTTTCAGTCTCGTACAATTAAATCAATTAATTAATAAACAAACACTATCTGAATCAACAACATTACCATCAGTTGATGGTGGAGATGAATTAAATGAAACATCATTTCGTGATGCTGATGATAATTATCAATGTTTAACTAATGATCAAAACTGTCCACCAGTATCAAATTTTTCAAAACCATCAATACCTACTGTTAATACCAATGATAGTACGAATAATAATAATAATCCTTCAACAATAGTAACAGAAACAGATGAAGGAATCATTTTTACAGCAGCAACATCAACAACAATTAAAAAACCAGATGTAAATGATGTTGAAAGATATAAAATGTGTGGAAATTCAATTATTATTTGAAACTAATATATATATATATTGATCGATTATTATTCTGTTATTTGTTAAAGTAAATAAAAACGAAGAANTACCATAAAAATGTCAATAGAACATTAATTACTGCTAGAGTAGTTTTAACATTAATTGTTTGAGCGAGTACACCAAAAACTAAACAAGCAAATGGTAATGGAATAAATCCTAATCGACGACTAAGTAAATCTGTATAATCGGATAGAGCCTTGAGAAAAAAAAAAAAAAAAAAAAACATGAAATTCTAAATAATATTCGAGTAAAATTAATAAGAAAATAAAACATACAATATCTTGTTTTGTTTTAACCATATCATGAGCTAAACTTAATATATATTCTCGATAAACTTCTGATGAAAGTTCATTAAATTTTAAAATAAATCCATGTTTAACCCAATCAACAAAAAATTCAACAACAAAAACAACAACAATAAAATCAATTAATGGCCAAAATTGACTCATATCCCAATTAAATTGATCAAGATTACGTACACAAACAACAAATAATAAAATAACATAATGAAAACGTTCACGACAATCACTACATGATAATTGAAATAAATTATTTCGATCAAATTTTTTAAATACACTATGTTTTAATTCAATAAACTATAAATATTAAATAAAACAAATATTTTGAATTAATCAATATATCAAAATTCAAATTTACATTATTTGTTAACATTATAATTAACAACATTCTATTTTGTGAATTAAAAGCAACATTCAATGTGATGGCTTGTAGAAGAACAAGTATTGCATGAATTGCTAGAAATAAATCATAAATAAATATTTCTACATAGTTTAATGTTAGTATTTTAAACAAATCTAAGAAAATATAAATGCTAAAAATATATTTTCAAATGTTATATTACAATTATTTAATTCTAAGATGATCTTATTTATCATTCAACGAGTATCTTCTACTATTATCAATATTCTAGGCTTCATTATTAATATATTACTTACTACAATAAACAATAGCTATAATAAGCCATAACAATAATTTTCCAGCACTATGTTTACGACGTGGTTCAGTTGCTGTCCAATAAACAGCATCAAGTGTATCTTGACCGAATGAAGATAATAAACGATCACATACCTTTCAATTTCATATTTCAATCACAGTTATATTTTTTTCTTCAATTAAGTTTTAACACATACTTCGAGCATATTGAAAAACATATAAAGTTTAATAGCTGCTTGAGCACGAACTGTATGATATACTACTGAAATATCCATAAAACACATAGGCGTAGCACAACCAACAACAACAAGTCCTTTGACAATATCGATGATTTGTGCCGGTTCAAATAAACGATTACTAAATAAATAAAACAATCAAATAAATAATCACTTCTTTTCTATTTACGGTTTTGAAGTTCGTAATCGACATAATGTACCAATTGCTTGTATAAGAGCAAGTGCAATACGTATGGGTAAAAATGTCCATACATATAAAAATGTATCTAAACATTGATAAAATCCATAGAGCATAAACTAAAATATATAAAATAACTCTAAAATAGTTTCTTTTCTTTAATACAAGAAAAAAAATTAAATGATTGGTCAATTCTATACAGATGTAAATCACCCACCTGTAATAACAACAAAAAAAATTAATATAATTGATTATTTCTAAAAGAAAAGTATAAGATAAAAACAAAAGTAAAAAATATCATCTCATCTAAATTTTGTATCCTTATACGAGTGTAGCTGTAAATAGTTGTTCACTTCATCTATTTCAGTTGTTCCTCGAGGGTTGAAATATATTATTGCGAAAAATAAGTAAACTTAATTTTCATATATTAAGAAAATTAAGTAAAATAATTTGATTTTTCGCTTAAAATTTTATATTTTAATTTACCTTTTCAAGACTTGATGACATTAAAAGAAAATTATATATTCTTTCTCGTTTTTCTAAATACTTTTGTTCTTCACATTCAAGCATATAATCACGAGTAAATTCTGCTTGAATAAAACGCCAAAAAGAAAATGGAGCTACAAGACAAACAAAAGAGAAATTTCCTTTTTTTTTGTTTTTGTTTTTTAAAAACAATATATCACAGACTTCTTTGATTATTCGACATTGTGTCAGTCATGATATTAGAATTGATAAAATAATGTACAAATAGCAATTGTTATGAAAAGTGCGCCCTCATTAGCATGTCGTTGTGCAATATAATTGGTGAAATGGTCTCTCGAATCACAAGGCTGATTCATTCTTTGTGTGTCAAGCGAAAAAGAAAAAGCAAACAATCGGATTAGTGTTTAAGAAAGTTATTTTTATGATGTATGGAAATGTTGTTCCGTTGACAACAGTTAATACTGCACAAGTATTACCTGGAACTGTTCTACAAACAACTGGAAATATTTTACCAACAACTACAGTTGGAAATAATGATTTAGTTATTATACAAGATACAACAAATCAAGCTGAATTAATAAATCAATTACAAAATCATATTAATGAAAATCAACAAATTTTGATTATTACAGATGATCAAGGACAAGATCAATGTAAATTTCATTTTATTTATATTTTATTAAGATTTATGTTGAAAAAAATTTTTTTTTTTTATCATTTCAGATATTATTATTGATAAAGATCAAGATATTAATGCACTCTTACAAGATGGTAAGTTATTTTAAAATATGTCTATTCAAAAATGATGATGATATTCAACAAGAACAGAATATAATGAAATTTTATGAATAAAATCTAACACGCACTACTATTCAGCTCATTTGAACTGACTAAATTGTTTTCATATAGATATAAACTTAATCAAGTGTATGCGTTGGTTCACTTATTTTCCTAAAGTAAGCTTTTTACAACTTCGATAGAGTTGTATGCCTCATCGCCGAAAGCGATATCGCCGGAAAATAACATCGCCGAAACTGGCGCCGAAACAAACATTATCGAAAAGAAAGATCGCCGAAATCAAGATTAACGAAATACAGATTGTCGATACGAAGTTCATCAAAATGCAGATCGCCGAATTCATTTCGATCATCTACTAGCTTATTAGAGTTAACACTGAATCAAGTTCGTGACTAATTTCACGTAGTTCCTAAGTAAAGCTAGTAGCTGACATGGTCAACGTGATTCCTAACTTGATCAAGTTAGTAACTATCTTAATTTCTAACTTATTGTATTACTCACTTAAGTTAGTTGTTAACTGGTAGTTCGATCATTTGCATAAAAATTGCCGATAGTTATATCGCAGACAGTGACACCGCCGAAATGGTACTTTATCGAAATGCAGCTCACCGAATTTCGGCGATCTGCATTTCGACGAAGTGGCTTTCGGCGAAGAGCATGCTGACCCTTCGATCGAGAAAATCTGTAAGCATGTTTTGTTAGAAGCAGTATAGAGATTTGATATTTGTTTGTTTGGTATTTTGATTGTTTTGAAATTTTATATAGTTAAATCTACTGATGAGAAATCGTTATTATGTATAGATGTAGGAGATCAATGTCTTTTACTTCATATTTTATTCGTATGCAAAAAAAACTTTCGTAGTTTCTCTCGTTTGAACTGAATTCAACTTAGAAAAATAACCATCATTTAAATTGAAAATTTACATTCTTAATATTTGTTAAATTTCCAATTGATATTTTTATTGAAAGTACAAATTGTAACTGCGAGTTTTTTTAGGTTCTTTATTTAACCATTATACGGAACAACAACAATTGGCTCAAATATCTACTGGTTTACAACAACAAATTTTACAAATAACATCAATGCCAACAATTCAAACAGCACATCCTTCATCTACTATTGTATCAACACCTGTACCAATACAACCAAAGCCAACACCAAAACCAATAGCACCTGCTACAATGAATCCATCAATAATACCACATAAACAATCATTTCAAAGCAAAGTAAAATAAGCGTAAATTCTTTTTCTTAATTTAATAAATATATGAATTAGGTCAATGCAAATGCATTTCATATTCAGAATGTTGAAGAATCAATTCAACGTGTTACAGCTCCACCACCAAAACGAAAACCAAGTAGAGTTTTTTTTTCTTTGTTTCTTTATTAAAATTCATTAAACAAATAACTATTTATCTTTTTATTTTAGTTGAAATTCATTATGATCCAAAAGATAATTCTTTTCATAATGCATTTTTAAAATTTCTTGCCGGAGAAAAACCACCATCATTAGAAACTATAGCTAATGAACCTATTATACGTAAACCCAAAGATAATGTTTATATTGGTGCTGTTAATGCTGGTATTATTCTTAATACACTTGGACAACAAACTGGTACAATGGGTTATCAAACATATGTAGTTAATGATGAATCACGTATGGAAGAAATAATGGTTATTGGACGACCATTATATGATGATACAAAAGGTGTTAAAATAAATCCACTATTAAAAAATATTCCAACAAATAATCAAACAAATTTTCTACCACATACAATAACATTAACACCAAATTCACAACAACAAAATGGTAATCAACAACAATATATTAATACATTAACTGATTTATTTCGTAATCCACAAAATGTACCAAATATGCTTAATAATTCCGTAAGAATTATTTGTTTTGTAGAACTCATATATACTTTCGAAGAGAATAGTGAGTGAAAGTTTTCCATCCATCCTCTTCGCATTACAGATCTTAGCAACAGAAAAACACGATGATCGACATTAATAAGAAGATCTAAACTGTTCTAGAATATTCCAAAGTCTTTCTCGAAATTCAAATGACTGAAATACCTTTGCAAATGTTCTAAATAGTGCAGATTTATATTTAAGATGCCAGGAATAATGTGTAATGATTTGTATGTGCAAGACCAGTGCGGATCTCAACCACTGAGACCGGAACGAACAAATTTGGTTCTGCACATGTCTAGTAGTGTTAGATAGATTTGCCATAGTCCTTATACATCCAATATTAAAAAGCGTCAACTAATGAAGGTATAACTTTGGGAAATAATCAATATTACTGTTTGCGAACTAATTGAAATCTATATGATTGTACGTTGAGATCTGCTGTAGATATAATGAATGTGTACAACAAGCTTATTTGAGAATTAAATCAATGAATAAAATAATAAGAATGTTAAATTGAGAAAAAACGAAATACAAAAGAAAATAGAAAAATCTCTATTCGATACACAGAAGTAAATAAGATGGATCGTTTCTCTGGTGATCGATTATCCTTGGAAAACAACTATAGTCTGCGAAAGATTTTTCATTTTACGTATTTTGTATTCGTATAATGAACGCAACGAACATATGAGTTCGACATTTCAGGCTCAAGGAGACTGCATGAACAAACTTTTTTTCTTATTCTATTGAAAATTTTCTTTAAAACCTTTACTTATTTTAGACAACAATTACATTACCTCAAGATATACTTAATCAATTAAGTGCTGGCACACTTACATTAACACAAACATCTAATGGAACTGATACTATTGAATCAGCTACAGCATCAGCAGCTGCAATACTCAGTCGATTGAATGAAATGGTACAAGGACAACAACAACAACAAACTAATCAAAATATGATGAATTATATTTCTAATGAATTACTTTCTACAACTGATTCAAATAGAATACAAAATGAAAAGGTAAATAGTTTTTTTTTCATATGTTTAAATTTTTGTTTATAATTGTATATAGGAAACAACAGATGCACTTTTACTTGCAGCAATGTCTCAAGCAAATAATTCAAGTATAAACCAAACAAAATTTTTTTTTTCTTTTAAAAATGAAATTCTTTAATTTAGATAAACCTCATGAAATTCATCAACCATCATTAACAACGATTCAATCAGACAATGCAAAGTAAAGTGATTTTTTTTTTTTTTTTACTTGTGTTAGACGTAATTTTTGATTCTGTAGTTCGTCATCAACAGCTGCTGGTCTTCAGCAACAAGTAGTTGCTGAACATTCTCAATCAACAACATCTACTGATAAACATCAACAAGAAACATCAACATCTACAGCAATGGATCAATCGATTGCAACAACTACTGAAGGACAACAATTTGCAGACGGAGGTAAAGAAGAAAATATTTGTTTGTTTGTTTGTTTTTCTATTCATCACAAGTGATTTTAAATCATAGAAATGGGACCTGAAATTCCATTTGAAATTGGTCAATTCTTATTATATAAAGGACATTTTCTTAATTTACTTCATTTTCCAATTTGGAAAGTACATACAAAAACACTTTTACTTAAATATGATACTGTACTTGCTGATTCCGAAATAGCATGGGAAGCAACAGATGAAGTAAGAAAATATATTTTATTTTATTTTTTTTGTTCTATCGTAGCAAAGTTCTTGTTATTTAACTGTTACAGGGAATGTTTTATACGAATGTTTATGAAGATTATATTCCACTTAAATGTGAATTTAAAGGTTTACATAATAATCAAGAAGTTGTTCGTATTGTCAATGAATCACATCCAATTAAACTTAAGTAAGATTAAAATTTTCAAGTCAAGAGAAAAAAAAATTTAGACATGCAGTATTTTTGAAATAATTCCTGAATAGTAACAGCTAAACTAAATAGAAGAAAAGATTTGATTAGCTAAAACAATTTCCTATAAGGATCAGTACTTGTTAAGTTCGTATTAACAGATTTAGATCAAAAGTCTTTGAAGCACTAAAATCAGTCTTTTATATTCTATCGAAAATATTTTGCAAACAAGTGTAACGATCCATTGACAGAAAACTTCATTCATTCTAAGAAAGATTTCACTGTGTAAAATATAGTAAATTCATATAAATTTTCATAAAAACAACAGAAAATACGCTTTTAGGTAGATATGGACAACATGGCTCCAGTCCCACTAGAGCCAAAACTTTTTTTTTATTGTGAGTACCATTCTTTACTGTCGTGTAAGACTTGCCTCAAATGTCAAATTCTTACAACTAATATGTTCTAAAATTTTTCGCCCACAACACAGTTTTCCAAGGTATAAATGAGCAAAACAGACGAAGCATTAGTAGATTAAAGAAAAGTTCATAAATCTTCAATAGGAAGAACATTGAAAGGTCGTGCAATCTGTCTCCAGCGCAGTGACACTACCAGAAAATAATATCACATTTTTCTCGAGCTAAAGTATTACTTAATGCGAAACCAGATAAACTTGTTTGCAAACATTTTTGATGAAATCCAGACAACTGATTTTGATTCTCTAGAGACATTTCATGTACATCTGTTAATGTGAATTTTGTAAGCACTTCTCCTGATAGGAAATCGTTTCAGTTAATTAAATCTTTGATTTCTTCTAGCTATTACCGTTAAGAAAAAAAAAAACGTGAAAAAATACTGCGTTTCTGAATTTTTCTCATCTATTTTCTTTAACATTAATTTAATTATTATGCAGAATTCATGGTCATATGAGTTCAGTACGTATTCAACATGATGTTTATGCTCAAGTACTTGTTAATCATGTTTATGATGCTGATGTATTACCAAGAATTAAAGCCAATACTGGTTAGATTTTTTTTTTGTTTTTCTATATTTATGTTATCAAATCCAAGAAAAAAATGAATTTCATTTCAGATGAATATGCAACATATATTCGATTGATCGATGAAATTCTTGAACAACGTTATAATTATGTTATTCAATCAAGACGTACAATAGAAACATTTCCTGTAGGTTTTTTTTATTCAAAAAATAAATTTTTGCTAAAAAAAGCAAAAACTAAATTCTACTTTTTTGAATAGTGTGCAATTGCTAAATATCCTTTACTTGATATTATAGCTCACCCTCAACGACAATTACATTGTCAAGTAAATTTTATTTTAATTGAATGTTTTTTTTTTCTTTCTAAATAATTTTCTTAATTTTAGGTTACAGAAGATAAATCACAATCAGTTTCACATACATTACGTTTTCATGGAAATCAATATGATGTTGATACATTAAAAGCAAGTGAAACACCATTACAAATATTAGTAAGAAGATTATTTTTTAAATAAATTCATTTTGTTTAAATAAAAAGAAAAATATAATTCTTGTTTTTGTTTTTTTTTAGGAAATATTTGTTTGTGAAAATATTGCTATTTTAGCTCAAACCGCTCATCAACTTAAACATCATGTTTATCATATGTTTTGTCATGCACAACAAAAAGTAAAAATTCAAAAATCATTTTGATTTAATTAAATTATTCTATTTAGGTTGCTGAATTACAAGCACTAAATCCAACAGCTGATGCAACGGAATTAATTAGTGCTATATGTGGTGATACAACATGGTTACAAGAAGTAATATTTCTCATTTATATTCAAATATTTGAATTTATTTTCATTTAGTTATTCGATCGATTTGATTCGATAATGCAACAAGCGGATGCATATATTTTTTCGAATGTTGATATAGCTTGGTAGAAAAATAGACAATTTATTATAATTCAGCACTAGTCATGATTTTCTCGTAAATATACAAGAACATATTCTGTTTTTCTTTTCTTTTTTTTTGTATTCAATTTTTTGTTTTGTATACCCTCATGTATTGTAACTATTTAAAGTTGTTCTAAACATATATTTGCTCGTTTATTTGGAGCATTTTTGTTATTGTATAAATCTGAAAAATGTTTTCATTACACATATGTACCGCTATGAAACGTTTTTAAAGAAGTTTGCTAAAGAGAAAAGATGAATTAAAATATGATTTGTTTTCTTCATTTTTCAAGTAAACCAATCGATGTTATGATTTTCGTTTACAGAAGTAAAAGACTGATTAATTTATACAATGTCATGATTTAACAGATTATACACATAGTCTGATACAATGACAATAATTAATAACATGAACTACTATTCACAATTTAAGTGTTGGAAAAATACTTATGATTTCAAATAGGAAATATATTCGATAAGATCTGTTAGGATGTAATGTTTTAAAAATGAATACTACTCAGTGAAAAATATTTACTGATTTTAATCGGATTTTTGTGAAACAAAATCAAAATCAAAATCGATTGATAATTTTGTTTATTATTCATCATGACTAAACTATTACGTGATATTGTTACTTATGCAGTGTGAAATTTTCCGATTGAAATCGGATTATTTGCAGGAAAATTGAAATTAGTAATCGATTTATAATCTTGATTTTCCTGCAAAATTATCCAATTTCAATCAGAAAATTTCACACTACATAAGTAACAATATCACGTAATAGTTAAGTCATGATGAATAATAATCAAAATTATCAATCGATTTTAATTTTGATTTTGTTTCACAAAAATCCGATTAAAATCAGTAAATATTTTTCACTGAGTAGACAGAGAATATCGATGAAATAATATCTTGCCACTTGTAATGCAGACGGTAATAATGCAAAAATATGGAATTGATTAAAAAGGATGAGGAAGGGACATATAAATCTTCAATTTGAGTCGTTTTATTTTTAAAATAATGCTATAGAATTTATGCAGTTTTGAAGTGTTTGAGTTGGCAAATTCAACAATATATAAATATTGCTGAAATATCTAAAATTAGAAATATTTACGCTACTTGCAAATCAAACCAAAACTATAGTCACGTCTTCTCGATGTGTACTAAGAGTGAAGGCCGTACTTTTGATATGCAGATAAATGCTAATGAGCTCACTCATATTGAGATGAATAGAATAGAACATAGGCTATATTTTGACAAGACAATAATATGTAAGTGATTATTTATTGAGTTAAGAATGAGTAACTTTGGATCACTAATAAATATTAAGATCTTAATATCTTAAAGAGTAAATAAGATCAGGAAGTTAAATATTTTGTACTGGTACAGTCAATGATAGACTACAAAAAATATATACAATTTGTTGGACAAAAAGGGCAGCGTCAGTCTCACATAAAAAAAATCATTTTACACGGATATGAAAAACAGCTCTCTTTGACCAATGCTTTTTTCAATATCTGTGGCACTCACTAAATTTTTTTTCGATTATGTATGTGTTTCATTTGTGATACTCTAGAGTGCTTACAACAAGGAAAAATATAGACATCAATAATGACAAGAGGAAAGCACGAGATCATAACGTTAATCACACTATCATCAAAACAGGAATGTAAAAAAATAGACAAATAACGACTAAGAACGAAGTGTTCATCTAAAAGCTATTGAAGGAGGAGGGAAAAATCGGTGAGAAAATTTAAAAGAAAAAAAAAGGAAGCGTTTGTGCATGAGTTGTTACTACCATTGATTTATTTATTTACAATAAATTCTAACTATATTTTTAACAAAGATTTAAATTTCTTTTTTTAGTTTCCTCAGTCCTCTGTACCAAACAAAATATCCTGATCCATCTTTATTTCTTTAAATTCTTCCCAGAAATATTCACTATTGTCATAATCAAATAGATAATATATTTGGAATTAGCATGAAAAGCCGATAATATTTGTATGTCTTCTAAAACTTTTGAGACTATTTATTTTCGTCTACAATTTTCTCCTTGTTCCGTTGATGTTCAGGCAAGAAAAACAAAAAATCGCTCAAAAAGAATTTTTCATCGTATCATCATTTGTTGTTTTTTACGATTTATACGCATTATTGACATTTGAAAAGCTTTTCCTGAGGCTGGAATGATTTTTGTTTCCAGTATATCAGTCTTTTTTTTTTATCTGACCCTGAAGGAAATTAGAAGAACATTTTAGACAAAAATAAATCATCATACAAATCTTTAGAAGACGTATAAGTTCCATCAACATGTCGTATTGATTCTGAGTACGTCATCTATTTAAGTATGAGAATAATGAAAATTGCGGATATTGGTGAAATAAGGTTGACTTTCGTAATTCAAGACTCACAAACTCAAACACTTGAAAATTATAAACGTTTTGTAAGATTACCTGGTAACAAAAATATAGTATGATCGTCATTGAAGACTTATGCGCCCTCTTCTTCAAATCAATAACGCAATAAACCTTCTATTTAGTTAAATAATAGCAAAACATTCAAATAAAAACGAATCTGTTGTTGATTAAATCCTTTATTCTAAAAATGATAAATTTCGTATTTTAAAATCAAATATCAACTTAACATTTTTTTTTTATTTTGTAAAAATATCTTCAATATTGTTCTCTAACTTATAATAACAAAAATAAATCATTAAAGTTGATTAATTTTTAGAATATAAATATTAAAAAAAAATTTATTTAAAAAATGATTGATTTAAATTTTGGCTATAATCTTAAACTACTACTACTTTCACTTTGTTAGTCTAGATAATATGTCATAAAGAACTACAACAATAATACATTAGTTTCATTTTTTAATTTTAAAAAATTGAATATATGTTGTTTTATTATTACAGGTCAAATGGATTAGCAATTCGTCCTAATGTTGAATCATGTAAACAACCATCAATAAATTCTTGTTTGCTTAAAACTTTATCTTGATTTGTATCAAATGTAAGCATAACTGTTTCTGTATACATCTTTGCATCTTGTTCAGATAAACCAATAATTCGACATATAATATTAAGAATTTTTTCTGCTTCTTTTTTTTCAATTTTATCATTTTCGTTTATATCAAATACTTCAAATGCATATTCAAGTTTTTGACGACTTGTTCCTGTACTTGTTGCAATATAAGCAATAAGAAATTCATTAAAGTCAACTGTGCCTAAAAAAAAAATGAATTAATTAATTAACTAATAAATAATTTGAAATTTAAAATAATAAATATTTACCAGAATGATCTTTATCAAATGATCGAAAAATATGATCTGTAATTTGTTCTAATTTTGGATTTTTTTTTAATTTTGTATAATATATTTGGAATTGTCGTTTATTCATTCGATCTGTACCATCACTTTCTTTATGAAATTCATTATACCATTGACGAATTTCATTTTCAGTTTTACCACTTAGTTGTACTAACACTTGTACATCTTTTGAAGTCAATGAATATTTTCCTTCTTGATTACCCATATTTTGTTTTTACTGATATTCGGGTGTTTTTTTTTTGTAGTCTGTCTGACTTTTAAACTCTCTGCGTGTAATGTCTTCGTAACTATTTGCTATTATCTGTGTAAAATAAATATATGAAATAGAAAAAAAAAAACAAGATGATTCACAGATCTTGGTGTATACGTTCTCATTAGTCTCACTTTTATTTTTGCTACATTATATATTCATTTGCAATATTCATCAATATAGTTTCTTTTTTTTTTCTTTACTATATACACACAAAATTTCGATTGAGTTGTATTTCAGTTCTAAATTGAGTTGTCAAAAGAAGTATTGAAGAAGTAGAACAATTGCTGACTATTAAAACATTTTTATTCTCTTTTTTTCCCTTTTGTTCTCACTTTATCTGACACAGAAAAGTCGAGGGAATTTTTGTTTACGATCAGCATACATAAAAGAAGAATAAGGTGAGCTTTCAGCTTTTTTCTTTTTTTCTTGAAATACTATGCTTTCTTTCTTTTTCTCTATCGGCATACACACAAATACATCAATCAATTACACAGCACGCTCAAACTGGATTTCGTTTTTTTTGTTCCCATGTACACCACATAACTGTGTGCAGTATTGTTTTCCTTTCATCAACGCCTACATTGTATGCTTCGATTGTGTCCTCGAAAAAAGGTTTATTCTCTTTTCTTTTTTTTACATAAAACGAAAACGCACGGAAAGAAAGGAAACGAAAACGCACTCAGTATTCATACTTCCCGCTTGCATTTTGTATGTATGTGTATGTGCTTTGAAAAGAAATCAACAGACAAAAAAAAAGAAGGAGAGAGAACGACCGAAAAAAAGAAGAACGAGTCTTCAATAGCTAGAGAGTGTATACACGGATGCTTGACGATGAGGAATGATGAAAGAAATACGAACGAATTGCATGCATACAAAAAGAAGAGAAAAAAACCAGATGGATATTAGATTGATAATGATTTAAGAAAAGAAGCATCATTTGATTATTCTTTTAAACTATAAAAAGAAATACATGCACACATATGTTTGATACGTAATCCAAGTGGAAATAACGAAAAAAATGTCAGGATTGGAATAGTTACAGGGATGTAACCGTTTTTAGTTTTTTTTTTCTTCTTATTGTTGTTGTTGTTATTGTTTTTTTTTCTTGTCATGCAGCTATCGTCACAAATCTTTGAAAAAGAATCGAAAAAAACCGAAAAGAAAGCAACCCTATGCGATGAAAAAAGAGAAAAAAGGTGGGAGAGAAAAAATGTCATTCCGGAACATACGCAACGACGTTTCGAAAGTTCCGGGTTGGCTGCTTTGTATTTGTTCTGTGTGAGAACGAAAGTGCGTTGCTACCTCTCTATTAATGTTACTATTATATTTTTGATCACAAGAAAAAAAAAAAGACGTCGGAATAGGAAATACATATTATTGTGTTCGTTTTGTACTAGAAACAAAAGAAGAAATGACCAGGTAAATTAGTTTTCACTCTTGATTTCAATTCAGATTCTATCTACATGCGTAAACTATTCGATTGCTTTATTAGAACAAAATAAATACATTTCATTTATTTGATCGCTTCTTTTTTTTTGTCTCGTATATCAAAAATATTGTCGCCTTGAGTGAATGAATACATAAATGGACATATTATGTAAACGTAGAAAAAATATATACATATTTTTTTATTTCATGTTTTTGATTAATTCTAGTTATACACAGAACATATTTTTAGAATAAACTTTTTTCGTTTTATCTGCGATCTAGTTAATGTATTCATGTGAACATTAAATTAACTGATTGATACTATTAATTCTAGTTCTATTGAAAAATATCATAAAATGGTCCGTATCATAAGATATATATCATCATAATGACTGTTGTCGTATGACTCATATCTGTGTTTCCTTGCTTCTTATTCTCCCTTACTTGCTGCGTCATTCTCGTGCACATACTCTTCGTTTCTTATCACCTTCGCCATAAAAGTGACTCTGCAAGCAAACCTATCTATCTGTTGAGATGGTAAACAGAACACATACTCTTCTTACAACGTAAATCAACTTTCGACTTCTATCTTCTTATCTTCCGCGAACAGGTTAACTATTCCTTTTTTTTTTCTTGGTTGCCTTCCGTCAAGGGCATATCTTCTCTTAACGCTTTTTTTCTTCTCGGTTTTTTTTTCACTCTTTCAAGTCGTGTCGCATTTCCATTCACTAGACGGGAACATTAGAATTCAAGCGATACATAAATCAAATGAAGCAAAGCCAACAACGATCAAATTCATAGCCTGTAAAATGGAAATTTTTATTTGACTATCACTACTTTACGATTTATTCTTTTTTTTTTTTTTTTTTTCTTTGTTCATTGAAAAGTACAACAGTCGTCTATATATACATACGCATATATACATATATATAAATTGAACAGCCTTTGTGAAGGGCGCGTCGCTTATTTCTTTTTCACCTATATTTTGTTCTTTTTCTTCCGATTTGGACGACAGGATATGGTAGTTGTATATTTACATATAAGACGAATTGAAAACCTATAACATATGAATGATATATTTTCGACAAGAGTCCATCTAGGTCAATGATCACATGATGATGGTGATTATGATTGAAACAAGAGGATGGTTGTTCTGACCTATTTTTCTTTTATTAGGTTGTATATTGTAAACGAAAGAACAAAAAGAAAACTGTTGATATGATCATAGTCTTTGCATTAGCACTTCTTCACACACACACACAACGTAAAAGGAGAAATAGAGATTAACGTAAATGCGCGCAATCGATCGACTGATGTTTGTCGTCGGTCTTATCAGTGTCATCATTGCTCGCAAACACCTGCTGATCATATACACATATGCTCATCTTCTAATTGGGTCGACTAGTAGTCACCATCTGTGATTGAGAGATTGCATCTTAATGTTGATAATGGATCTCTTAATGATGATTGTTTAGTATCGTGTAACGTGACAATGGTACCATAGATTGAACATGACAATAAGACGAAAAAATCGAAGGAGGAGAAGTTCAAGAGAGACGAGACGAAATTTTTTCTTTTATGTTTTGTTCCGGTCACCTCCATTCATGCACTTCACATTGAGAAAATTACACATACTACTATAGTGCTCGTTCTCATTTTGAGGTCACCGAGATAAAGACCGAAATACATATATATATATATATATAAATGTATGCTGAGTGCATTGGTGCGGATATCGTTCAACACAATGAATTTAGTATGAATGAGAAAAGAAAGAAAAAACGAAAAATTTGTTATATTTTATATGCCGTTTCGGACCTTCCTCTTCTCTGTCTGTCGCCGTCTCGACAGGTAGAAGAGATGGATGATGATGATGGAGGGGAAAAAGAGAACAGAACACAAGGCCAGTTTATATATATATGTTCAAAAAGCGACTTGAAATTATTCCTTTTCTTTTCTCATCGCAGACTGACCGAGAGGCGGCAAGAGCATTAAAAAACAGAACAATATATGAGAGTGAAAGAGCAAAAGAGAGAACGGGATATGTCCTCTGTTGTGAGAGAATAGTGCTCTTGAACTTCCAAGGTAGACGACATCAACCTAGACAGTAAAATCAAAAATAATGGATCTCTCTTTTCTATGTCTCTGTCGCTCTCTCTCTCTCTCTCTCTCGTTCTTTCTGCTTGACCCACAATAAACTTTTCGAAGGAAGGAGGTCATTTTCGAGTGTTCGCTCTTTCTTTTAAACAAGAGAAAAAGAATGCTGTAAGTATAATCAAGACCAAATAACTTAAGATCCGTATCTTATTCCATCAATCATCATGTCTATCTGCCTACTGGCACTTCCCTGAACTTGCCTTTTCTCATTCTTATTCTCACATTGTTATTCTTCATTCTAATCAAAAGAAGGTTGTCCAATAAATAGGTCTTCTTTTAGACTAGTCATCCATCTTCAATATAATATAACGAATCAACCGGTTAACAAGAAAACATATTGAATTTGGATTCGTTCTTTTTCCGATGACTAAAAATCAAATAAAATTATTTTTCTTGATATTAACTATTTTCATCATTATATACACTGCATTACTTCTATACTGTCAAATATTCTTATACATTGTCTATCTTATAAGTTTTTTATCTTTCTATCTCTCTACTAGGTAAAAAGTGCACGGAAGTTTATATCCTTATAAAAATAGCTGTATCGAAGGTGATAAAGTGCATTGTTTCTCTCATTGTACATCATACATACTAAAGACTAGATATATAAATGTATGGATATTTTACTCGAACAGAATAGGCTCATATATAGAATAGAAATGATAAAAAAAAATATGTAAAAATATGTTTCTGTTGTTAAATGCATAATACAGACGTAATTTTCATTCTTTTATTTATTGTATTTTTCTCCTTGATCAAATCTTTCCCATTGTGTCTATTAATAAGCATCCCTATTATATGATAGTCCAATTTTTTCTTTCCGTATGCATACTATGCATTCATAATGTATCACTTATTGCATCCACTCTTTTCCTTCACCTACTTATTCATTCGTTTCTATCTTTCTCTATCTCTCTCTTTGTGTCTCTCTCCATCTCTCATGTGTCTTGATCATATTTCGTTTTTGTATTCTTCATTACACAGGAAGGAAATTTTAATATGTATATAACTAGTTTTTGGAAGTACTAAGATACAAATTGTCTCATGGCATTCTTTTCGAATTATTTTATTTTTTATATTTTTTTCTTGTCATCATCATATAACTAAATAGGTAAAAGAAAACGAGAAGAGAGTGAAAGTGCGAGAGAGAGAAAAACGTGTCGTTTGTTATCGAGGGTGTGATGACCATATTATCAGGTGCACCATCGTCGTCGTTGGCTGCTACTATCTTTTATGCTTCCTTGTGTATATATACAGAAAAGGAAGGATAAGATGATGCATGTTGCACTGTGCATTACTGCTCTTTTCTGTTTTTCTTCGTTTTTTTTTTATTTCTCTTGGGGTCTTCTCTTTTTCGTTAGATA